AGGCAGTCTCGGGCCTCGCATACGGCCACTGCGCTAGTTATTTCTCATATTATTCACATCTACACCCCGATTTGACCGATATACATATTTATTTATTTAAAAATGTCATCTAAAGAGAGCACGTCCGGAGGTGCCATGGGCTCAGCCCTAAGGCCGCCCCCTCAAACCCCACCACACAAACAAACTGAAAAAAAGGAACATGCCGCCACGCGGGATTGAACCACGGACCTTTGGTTACCCATACGGATACAAGACCAACGCTCTACCACTGAGCTATAGCGGCCCAGAAAAATTGTGAAATGAGTGATATTTAATCATAATGACAGATTAGATGTGAGATCAAAGACCCGTTTACCCTTATTATCAGCTGCGTCTATAAACTCATCCCTTCAATCCCAACAGGGTGGGGACTGCCCGTCCGACAGAGGCCAAGCCAGCCGCCAAATACGTGTGTTCGGACACCAGTAGGAGTGAGGTTCCTGTAGAGAGAACAAAAACTGAGGTTTCAGCTAGCTAACGTTGCTAAGGCAACCGCAGCAATGGCAAGTCAAGCAAGCCACGCATGCTGAAAAGCCAGTGCCCCCTGATAACAAAGTTTGCACCCGGAACAGCGAGCTGTGCATCAATATTGCAATGAAGCGCATCCCGCCCAGCTGGTGCCGCCAATTGCACACAATTCGAGGTTGCCTCCTCCTAGTGATCGCGATTCGTAGGCCTTCTGCTCAGGCATCGCATTGTATGGCAGCAATATATGTGGTTCACGCGCACATGTCGTGGATACTGCATGGTAATTGCTCTTGTCCTTTCAGCGCATGCCCGGGGGGCCAAGCTTTTGGCATGTATGAATTTTAAAGCAAATATTGCAAACATGTGTATATACTAAAACGAATTCATCCCATCATAGGCTATAGTAATCGTAAGAGGGTTTTAAAACGTATATGGGGCAGATGAGTGGTAGATGCCGTGCGTAGGTATCTTAACCGAGGGTTACTTGTGGTGACTTGACCCAGCTTTTCCAGGGAATAATATTAAAGTCACCGCGAAGCAGCGTCATTAGGGAGGCGGGGAATTGCCCATTAAAATGAGCGCATATTAGTCTGAAAAATTGGACTCTAGAAATAGCCGACTAGTGAGCACAGCACGACAACTGCGCCAAACCCAAGTGTGTGGAGTGCTTCTGCATTGGTGGGAAAGGCGCGGGCTGCGCTACTATTACTGCCGGCGCTGCTACTGCTATTCGTATCGGACAGGGAGGTTTCATTATTGCGAGCAGTGGATTCGTCCAAGTAATTGTTAATTTTGCTAAGGGCAGACTTGAGCACGTTTTGCATAGTATTGGGATCGTTACTTAAACTGTCAGGACTGGATGTTGTAGAAGTGTCAGTTGTGGAAGTATCTGTTGTGTCTGTAGGAGTTGGTGCCTCACCCTCTGCAATGACTCCGTAAAGCTGTAAAAAAGCGACACCGAGGGCTCCAAGCAGCAGTGTGCTTTTCTTAACAGAGGCCATCATCCTGGCGGTCAAATGTAGTTGTAAGTAGTACTATGAGACAAACAGCAGACGCGTATGTGTGTGAGTGTTGGATAATGTTGGGAAAGTGCAATTGGTGCGTAGACCGAGGACCGAAAATAAATACCATTTATAGTGCTAACCTTTTGCAGCGGAATTGCTATCAAAATGCGTGCTTAATCGATTTTTGGAGAGATTAGAATTATGAGTATTTAATTTAGATTTGGCATTCAATATATTCGCTGAGCTTTGAGATACATAGATGATCATTAGCAACAATATAGGGCACCCTATATTAAATGTGGCGCATCAAAATCAGGGAAACGGTGCGGTCGGTGCAGCTGGCCTATCATCTGACTGGGGATAGCGACACCCTTATGTACGCCCGAGTGCCATTCGACGGTGTCCATATACGATAGCTGAACGTATCTGCAATATACATCGAGGCAGAACGGTCGTAGGGGGTCAAACCGACATTTAGTGCACTTAAGTCTGCTGCACATTGTGTGAATACTGCCAGTGCGTGAGAAGCGCTCATTTGGAAAAATGGGATAACTTAAGTCTAAGCAAGTGTACATATAAATGCAACGCCTGGGAGCGAGCTTTAGTGGATAAGGTGACAAGTATTTATTTACTTAATGCGAGTGATATAAAATACCAAACACTGACGTAGAGTGCCTCGCCTACTGGCTTTGCATAGCGAGACACAAACCCGTTGTCACTAGCAGTAGTCAATATTTAGCAAGGGGATATCAA